GGAAATGCTATAGAATTAAGGTCATACCTTTCCTAAAGGCTTAAGCAGTCCGTGATACATCACCTTTATGAAATAAGCATTGAATCTTTTTATTTCAGGGAGTCGTAAGTACACACTCATCTATTGAATTAAAACACCTTCACTTACACACAACTGCCAAATGCATTAGTACTTAACACCAGTCACTAAATTCATACCATATGTATATATATGTGTGTGTGTGTGGAGAGAGAGAGAGAGAGAGAGACTAAATATGTATGTATAATCTAACCATTTTGCATAAAGTTATTAATCTTATTTAACAAATGAAAAAACCAAGACTCCAAGAAGATAAGTAATGTGCTAGAAATTAATAGCAGAAAGTAGTAAAATCTGGACTTGTCTGTTCACTATAAGAGAAAACAAGACGGGTGCTTTATGATTGATGAAGCACCTTCTCATATCCTTCCTCATTTAACTGGAATGTTGAATCCACAAGGGAGGAAAGAATGGTTTTCTAATCACATTTTCCAGTTGAGTGAAATGAATAGGTCGGCACATGCTCAGCCCTGGATCAGTCCTAACTCCCCAGGCTGTGTTCTTACCAGGCATCTCACCCTCCTCTAACTGCTACAGCCGGGAATCACCCTTGCATTTTGAATCTTGATGTCTAGGTGTATTTCTTCATTTATAAAATTATGAATCTGGACTAAAGGAGTACTTCCAGTGCCAACAACAGGATTATTTTCCTTCTTGCTAAAGTGGAAGTACAAGTTGAGAGGGAAAGGACTATGGTAGATCCTTTTCATATTTTTTCATGGTGAGTTATTTTTATATTCTTATGTGAAGCAGTTGGAATGTAGGGACGAACACAGTGCTGTAGATGAAATTGGCAGGTTCTGATTCCAACTAACTCACTGTGTGACTTTGTGAGTTATCTCAGCCCAAGTTTTTGTTTCCTCATTAATATAACCTATGAAATAATGTACGCAGTCACATGTGGTGAGAATGAGCTGAAATGAAGTTGGGAAAGGTAGTTTGTTCTTCTCTAACAGCTTTATTGAGGTATACCTGATGTACAATACATCACTTATATTTAAAGTATAAAATTTAATATATTTTAACACATATATATGCCCATGAAACCATCATCATAATCAACATAGTAAGCTAATCCATCATTCCTCAAAGTTTCCTTATGGCCCTTGGTAATCCCTCCCTCCTTCTCCTTTTGCCACGCACCTGTACCCAGGCAATCATTGATTTCCTATTTGTCACTATTGACTAGCATGCAGTTTCTAGATTTTTATAAATGAAATCATATAAGGTACTCCTGTTTTGAGTTTCATCCCTTGTGTTGCAAGTATCAACTGTCAAGAGGTTTCCAAAGTGTTTGCACTATTTTACATTCCCACTAACAAGGATGAAATTTACAGTCCTTCCATTTCCTTGTCAATGAACATTATGACCCACATGTTTTTAATTTTAACCATTCTAATAAACATGTAGGAATATCTCAGCTAGCAATAACCATTCTAATAAAAGTGCAGCAATAAATTTAATTTGTGTGCTCCTAATACAAATGATTAGAGCATTTTCATACATTTAATAGTCATTCACATATCTTCTTTGCTGACGTATCTGTTCAAACATTTGGCCCATTCTTTGGGGGTTATTTTCTTATTATTAAATTTTAAACTTTTTCTATATTGTGGGTACAATTTCTTTATGAGAACTGTACTTTTTCAAATAATTTTTCCCAGGTTTTTTTTTCATTCTCTGTTTCCTAATTGACCTAAGGTATGATGAAATGATGCACACATTTACAACATAGTAAAAAAGAATTGAATAGGGATAAATATAAGTACTTTGCAAATTATAAACATTCAGACAAATGTATGGTTTTGATTACTCAATTTTAGAGCAGCTTCTCTGTTGCAGGTGCTCGTGTTCTGTGCAGAAACTTAACGATGGGGGCACCACTATCAATTATCCCAGGATTTAAGATAGCCACGCACCCATGAGAGATGCATTATACGGCTCTGCTTTCTTGTCTTTCTTAAGCAGTAAACCAATTAGAGAAGACACAGCATGACTTCTCCTTTCAGGTTTAGGTAGAGGATGCTACTTACTTCTAACTTACTCCATGTTTGGGTTTGGTTTGATTGAGTTTGGTTTGGTTTTGCCCACTTCCTTCTTAGAATTCTTCAATGGACCAGATATCCCTCCAATCAAAGAGGAAAAAGTTTACCAAATCCATGCTTCTTTTGTCCACAGAGTTGGATAACACTTTCTCTATTTCCCCTGAGAGAAGGACCCTTGAGTCTTAACCCCAGACTGAGCTGTGCAGTGATCTGCTGGCTAGGCAGTAAGATTGTCCAAAGACACAGCTGTGTCTTCACCCTGATTATGCCTCATGCAAAACTTCTGGGTGTTTCTAAAGATCAGGGAAACCAGAGACTAATTCTGTGTCCATGAATAAAAGGCAAGGCAGAAAAAAGAAGGACAGACACAAAAATTAAGATACATCAACTCCATCAAATCACACATACACGGAAGACAATAAAGTGGAGTAGACTTTACACTCAGACAGACCCAGCTCTGCACTTAATTGCCTGTTGACTGTGCTAAAGTTAGTTAGTATCTAGCCTTGTTCATTTAAGATATAAGATGGAGATAATGCTGGCATTTACTTAATAGATTTATAGTGAAGATGAAATTATATTAATGTGTGAAAGCACTAAAAATTCTGGCATATAGTTACATTCAGTTAACTCCTGGCTTTTTAAAAATTATTATTATTCACTACTTTTTCTAATATTTCTCACCCTCTGCTCCAAGTATTTCTCTTTCTCTGTGTGTGTGTGCATGAGTGATATGTTATATGTTAAGATCCCTGTGTCTTTCCTTTTTATGTGTGCCTATCTGCAGTGAGAGTTAATGCTTATCCATTATCTGCTTCGTTTTAGAAAGAAGAAAGAGACACTCAAAACTGTTATTCTTTACTAATTAATTAGGAAGATACTTGCACAGATCAGGTCAAACATTTGGTACCATGTGATAAATGACATCAGGGCATCAATTTCTTCAGAGAAGCAGAATTTGCCATCCCTAAGACACTAACATCTTCTCTTATTTGACTGGGTTCCTGGAGAAGACAAATGACCATTGCCCTTACCAAAGTCATTTGAGTTACCCTATGGGTCACAGAATCTAATTACTGGGAAACTTTTTAAGAATCACTGCAAACGATAAAGCAAACCCAGGCACACATAAAATTGGAAAGATGGATAAAGAAAACCACACAGTGGTGACTGAGTTTATCTTTACGGGCATCACTCAAGACCCTCAGCTGCAGATCATCTTCTTTGTGGTCTTCCTCTTGGTCTACCTGGTCAACGTGGTGGGGAATGTTGGTATGATTATCCTGATCATAACAGACACTCAGCTTCACACACCCATGTACTTCTTCCTCTGCAACCTCTCCTTTGTCGACCTGGGCTACTCCTCAGCCATTGCCCCCAGGATGCTGGCTGACTTCCTAGCAAAGCACAAAATCATCTCCTTCTCCAGCTGTGCCACCCAGTTTGCTTTCTTTGTAGGTTTTGTGGATGCCGAGTGCTATGTCCTGGCTGCCATGGCCTATGACCGTTTCGTGGCCATCTGTCGACCCCTCCACTACAGCACTCTCATGTCCAAGCGAGTCTGCTTGGCTCTTGTGCTGGGTTCTTACCTGGCTGGTCTGGTGAGTTTAGTCGCCCACACTTCCCTCACCTTCAGTTTGAGTTACTGTGGTTCCAATATCATCAACCACTTCTTCTGCGAAATCCCACCGCTCCTAGCCCTCTCTTGCTCAGACACCTACATCAGCGAGATCTTGCTCTTTAGTTTGTGTGGCTTCATTGAATTCAGCACCGTCCTCATCATCTTCATCTCCTACGCCTTCATCCTCATCGCCATCATCAGAATGCGCTCCGCTGAAGGCCGCCTTAAGGCTTTCTCCACCTGTGGGTCTCATCTCACTGGCGTCACACTTTTCTATGGCACAGTCATGTTCATGTACCTGAGGCCAACATCCAGCTACTCCCTGGATCAAGACAAATGGGCCTCTGTGTTCTATACTGTTATCATCCCCATGTTGACTCCTTTGATCTACAGTTTACGAAACAAGGATGTGAAAGCTGCTCTCAAAAAACTAACTGGAAAAAAACCTCAATAAAAACAAAAAAGGGAAAAATCTGTTATTACTACATGTAAATAATAGTGGCAGAAAGATGGTGTCAGAAGGTGGGAAATGCAAACAACTTTCCAATAAACACTACTCAAGTTACCAGCTACCTGCTGCGTCAATCTTAATTTTTTTTAACTGAGGTAGAGTTGATGTATCATATTACATAATTTTTAAGTATACAGCATAGTGATTCAAAAATTTTAAAGGTTATACTTCATTTATAGTTATTATAAAATGGCTATATTCCTTGTGCTGTGCAATATGTCCTTATAGCTTACTTACTCTGCTTTGTTACATTCTTTAGTTGTGTTTTTAGATTCCACACATAAGTGACATCATAGTCTTTTTCTCTGTCTGACTTATTTCACTAAGCATAATACCCTGCAAGTCAATCATAAATTCTGGAGGGTTTTCAGGAATCTTTAACTCTATGGTATGAAGCAAATATAAATTAGTATTTTTGAAAGTCATGCTGAGCGAGATGCATTAGTTTTTTTTTTTTAATTTAAAATTGGCTCACATGTCGATAAGAAATGGAGACAGGACTTGAGAAGGGCAATAAATAGCTACTCACTCTAAAGCGTATTTGTTTTCAGGGTCATGAGGAATGATAGATCAAATGTTGAAAAGGTATCTACCATGAATGGGAGTTGAAGAAAATTTAGTTAAACACATGGGAATGGGGCTGGTGTGAGTGGTGACTTAATGCATCCCAGAATCCAATCACGCGTGTATTCAGCAAAAACTTACAAATGCTAGATATGTGCCTCCAGAGGACACAGACATAAGACACACGTGTGGCAACAACAGGAATTCGATGTGCTTCCAGTTACTCTGTCATCTCTCAGAAGCTGCTGCCACCAATACAATCAGGAGCCATGCAAAGCCCAAGAATAAGAGCTGAGATTAGGCTCTTTGGTCCTATGGTCTAGGACCTTTGGTCTATTCAAAAGAGGTGGGCATCTCATTTTTGTCCACCTTGTATGTTGACCTCCTCCCAGCCCTTGGATTCTAGGACTCTGGACATTTCTATAAGAAAGATACAGTTTAGATCAATCCCTAAGGCTAATTTTAGCAAGACTGTAATGTCTACAGGACTGATTGTGCTGATCAATCCCTGATCTCCCCTATGCCTTCTCTCCCCCTCTTCTAATCTCAATTAAACAGTAGCCTTTTCCATGGCGGCCAAGAGTCTTCATGCTTTCCACCTTCACAAAGAATAATTTTGTCAACCCTGATGTATCAATGACTGACAATGCCTGTTCTCAAGGCTATAATTTTTGAATTAAGAAACAGGACTGCCAGGTATCAGCAGCAGGTAAAGGCAGCAGACTGAGATCTGAGGAGAGCTAAGGTTTTCTCAGATGTGCTGAAATTCCATCACACCATCTGTTTCAAATACTGACAATTGACAATTTTTTATCTCAGCCTTTCCTCTCGTGCAGTATAGTCAAAGGTCAGGGAAACACAGTGGTTGCCCTGAAGTGTAAGAGCAACTTCATTCATCATGAAAGGTACTTAAGGTTTTAGAGATGAAAGACTCGGGATTCACCACACTTTCTAATGGGTGTCATTATGTGTGAGTTGAAATCGACCTGGTTCAAAATCACTCAATCACACTATGAATTCCTAAAAACACCCCTGATGTCACATTATGGAGAACATAAGGGGGTTAATAGACAGGTGTGGAGTGGGCAATCCTGAAACAGTCCAGAGATTTGGCCTTCAGGTTTTTAAAAACATAATCCAATGTGTAAATCTATATGCTGTGTGAAAAATAAGAAATTAGGGCTTTCCTTTTTCATTAACTATGAACCAATTAGTCTATGTCCTAATTGAAAGGGCAGTTGCCTCAGAATCAGGAAGATTCCATTTCTGTATCTCTACTCACTGACCTCGTTGCTAGAGGACTAACTTTTTTTTTCTTAATTTATTGCTGTATCCAGTCAATAAACAAAGCACCTTAAATCTGTTTAGGTTCTTACAATCATTAGATATATATATATTATTCTCATTTTAAAGATGATAAAACCGACATATAGAAAAGTCAACAACAAACTTGTCAAAGTT